TTTCTAAAAAAAAAATGAAAGTTTTAAAAAAAAAAAAAAAAGAAGTATATCTTAATAAGAAAAAGTGTAGACTGATTGATATTTATGAATATCTTTCTATAAGTACAACATTTGATTGAAATGGAAGTATGACAATTCCCGATAATAAATCATTCGTATCGAGAAAGAGCTCACATAGTGGATGTAAAAACAGGAAAAGAAAATGAAGTACTTTTGCTATGATACAAGCATCTTCTACCAATTACATAACTACTTCTACTCTTCTTTTTGCTCCTCCTTTCCATTTCTTTTTATTTCAAATTAAATTTATTTCCGTATTTTTCTACTCTTAATTTCAAATTTTTGGAATTTCTTTAAAAAAAAAAAATTTTTTTTTAGTTGATATAATATATGAATAAACAAATTTCTTTTACAATAATCTATCATATAAAGTGCAATAAACTATAATCTGAAATTATATATACTTCTGCGCACCATGAAATGATATAATAAAAGTTTACTTTGTTTTGTTTATCATTGTATCATTTCCAAATTTATATAAGTATGATTTAAAAAAAAATTGAATTTAAAATGTTTTTCAAATTAAATTATGACAATTCTACCGTAATTATCAATAGTTTTTCCTGTTTTTACCTGAAAATTCTTATCAAGAATGGAAAAAAATAATGTAAACTAGAAGCTTTATCGTTCTTTTTTTCTTAAATTAAAGTTAGACTGATGATTATGTAACAAAAACTAACAGGATAAAACTTTGTGAACAAATAATTAAATTTTCACTTGATAATTGAAAAAATGAAATCATACAAAATTGTTAATCTCTTTCCACCATAATTTTAGAAATTCGTTTTGATGAAAAATTGAAATTTGTATCAAATTAACCTTAGAAAAATTAGAAAAGAGTGAAATTTCTATTGAAATCTGATCATTATAAGAATAAAAAAAATTTTTTTTTGGTTATGGTTTTATTAATTTTAATGATTTTAAGATTCTATCTAATAATTAATGTGAAAATTATGCTAACGATAATAATAAATGATAATACTGGCAGTAGCAACATTCTGTGATAACGGAAATGATAACACTGATAATGTTGATAATAGTTGACGTGATAATGCTACTGCAGTAAGACTTTGTAAATGCTTAAATCGATCAAATCCAACCAATTAATTTAACTATTGTTTAAATTAATAATATTTCGAGATGGATAATAATAAGAGCTCTCAATCAGTGAAGATTATGAAAATTGAATGATAAAAGAGAGTGCCATGTTTCCTCGAAATTTTCGTCCTTTTTTCTTTTTTGAAAAAAAGAAAATAAGAACTTAGAATTGTAACATAATTCGGTAAAAAAGTTTAAAAGTCATTACTAATAAAATAAAATGAAATGAAAAAAAAAATTTAACAAATGATTTGGTAAGTAATATTTACCTACAGCAAAGTATTTCAGTGGAATTAAAATAAATGATACGGTGTCAGAGCAAACACCTTCAATAATTTCACCTGTTTTTCCTTTTATTTCCATTAAATTTAAGTCGTAGCAATATTTTTGATTTTTGATTTTAGCCTACCAATTAAATATTTGAATAATTTGTTATTTTTGCACCTTTCCCTTTTTTTTTTTTCTTTCCACCTTCTTTAGATCATTTAAATTATTTTGCTTAACCTTTCTAAAATTATTGATATGTTTTTGTAATTTTTGTTGACCATTAATTTTTATTTAGACATATATTTCTTCTCATTTTTTTTAAAAAAAAAATAATTATTGTATTGTTTATTAACAAATTTTTGTTTATCATAATTACTGTTTGCTTATGATTTTATTCTTTTTTTTTTTTTTTTATTAGATTAAACAAAATTCACTTACTTATTTAATTATACTATATTTCTCAATAAAATTAATTATCTAAATTGTGTACATAGCCGTTAATAGTTAAATACTGTTTATCATGATAATTAATTCATCTATCATTGAAAGTGATATGATAGTTTCATACAAAATTAAGCACAAAAAATTGGCTGAAGGTAAATGAATGATAAATCATCTAACCACTGATTATTTAACATTTTAATTTAGAGAAAAAAAATTAATTGTATTTTCAGATCAAATAATATTAATCGTACCACGCTATCATTTATCAGTTAAATTTCACAATATACTAAATTATTCGATTAAACAAATAACTTATTGATATATCTATCTAAAATAAAGCTAAGCTAAAGCTTATCAACCTATATCTGGGAGTTCTTATCTCGTCCTAATACATGCATTTACTATAAAACAAAGCAGCTAATTAAAATGATAAATGTTAAAGAAGCGAAATATCTTCTGTCAAATTTTCTCATAACTTGTAGCTTTTATTTATAATTTTGAAAAACTTGGCAAAAACAACCTCTCTATGAGAAATGAGAATGACGGGTAGGGTTGAAATGATAGAGGTATGGGGACGGGGAGGGGAAATAGAAGAGTGATAGCTTCCGAGAAATGCTATATTATTTATTTCTCCACTGTACCTCTGTAAAAACAGGTTCCGATAGAATGAACAAATTCTCATAAAAGCAGTCTGAAGTGCAAAATGCAAGAAGAAGAGAATCGGAGATGAGCACGGGGAGGGGACAGGGGACAGGGGACAGGAGAGGGGGGGGACAGGAATAAGAGAGAAATTGAAAATGTATGATGGCTTCGAGGTAACGCAAATTTTTGGATTGTCACATCCTACATCAAATGCTACTAATTATATTTTCTTAATAATTAAATATTCGTGACAAATGATGAAATTCAAATGAGAAAACAATTTTTAAAAAAATATCATTGATAAAGGAAAAAGAAAAAAAATCAAAGAGAAAATTAGTTGAAGCATATAATTTTGTTTTTTTTTTTTTTCTTCAAAATGATAACAATAGTAAGTTTTTTCAACTAAATCAAATAGTAAATGAAATTTTCTGCTTTTCTAATGCAATTTTAGAATTTAAACAAATCAAAGTTTCTTAAATTTAAAAGTCTTAATAAAATATTTTATTAAATATGTGGTAGGATTAATTAAATTTAATAATTACCACGGTTTTCTTTTTTTTTTTTTATAAATGAATCAATTCTTTATTTGTTACATTAAATTTTTCATTAAAATTATACCAATTCAAAAAAATTGAATTAATTAATGAGCTATTTTTATAGTATGCCTGAATGCTTTATCAGGAAAATTTGAAATAATGGAAAAAATTTCAGGTAATAAAATTTCTAAAAAATTTAAAATTTACCAAGAAATCATCTAAAACTCATCAAAAACTTCTTGTAAAAAAAAAAAAATTGGATGAAAAAATTAAAAATTTCAAATGTTTTTTAATATTCTTTTCAAATTATTAAATTTAATGCATCTGAAAGAGTTCATTTAACACTCTCACTTTTCATCTAAGATCACATTAGTAATTCTTGTAGGTAAAATATTTTTGAAATGAAAGGTTTGAAAAATGTTTGAGTGATAATGATCTCTTAGGTCATTTCCGCCTGTGCTTTTTTTTTTTTTTTTATTAAATTGATATGAAAAGTTCAAAAAAAAGTTTTGCTTTCTTTTTTTTTTGTATGAAACGTTGCAAAGTCAACTTTAAGCCAGTTTTCAAATAAATTCCAATATATTTGCTCTAAAATTAGTTCTGCAAAAGTAAATCATATTTTTCTCCATGAAAATAAAATTTTTTTGATTGTTAAACTTAGTTTTTAACTCTTTCACTGATTAATAATAAATCAAATTTATGTAAACTATAATAGATTACAAGAAAAAAAAAGGATTCGATGATAATATTTCTTAGAAAAAAAAAAACTATAAATGAAATTAATTTTATTAAATCTTAACTATTTCAAAACTATTGAAATATCTTACAGAATTCCTCATATATACCAAGTGAAAACTAAGGAATTTCAACAAATACAAAATTAGTCACATAATAATAGTAATAATAACTAATTAATTATTGTAATAACATAATAATAATAATAAATAGTTAGTAACAATAATAATTTCATTCATTATTAGCATTATTTGTCAACTATTTCATAAATAAAAGCATCAAAAATAACAAATAATAATAATAATAATAATAATAATAATAATAATAATAATAATAATAATAATAATAATAATAATAATAATAATAATAATAATAATAATAATAGTAAATAATAGTAGCAGGATGCTCATTTATGATAAGAATAAAATATATTTATTACATTGTTTTTTATTTGCTTTATTTTTTTTTTGTCTTTTCATGTTTTTTCTCATTTATGAAACATTCAACAAATACTACTAACAACGAATGAAGTAAGAAAAGAAAGACAAAATTATGACACACTGATAAGTAATATACTAATAACTTATTATCAACACTATTTGATTTCTATTCCAATTTATTTCTGTTGTCTGTGCGAAAAAACCGGTAATATTTGCAAGAAATAACCTGTACCAATCAACAATTAAATAATATATTATTGCTAATGAAAATCAGCAAATATTTCTTCTTTTTCTTCTTCACTCATTCATTCATTCATTGATGTGTAAAAATTGTTACCATAAGAAAATATCAATGCAAAAGAATTGTTTAAAATTTCCTTCAATAATTAATATATAACTTTTGTACTTTCAATAAGTGTATAATGAATGAAAAATTAAAATTAATGCAAAATATATATATTTTATCTAAATTTTCAATTTTCTACGTTTTTCTTCTTTTTTATTTTATTGATAGATAAAAAAAAATTATTGTTTATATGTGTGCAAATTTTTAAATACATTTGAATAATTTATTTTTCGGAATGAGAAAATGTCAACATTATCATCATTTATCATTGATAAGCTAGTATAAATTACACATAAGAATTAGATGAAGAAAAAAAAAAACAATAAATTATATGAAATTAGAAAGGAAGGCATTGAAAGATGCCATCTTTTTTTTTTTTTTTACTGCTGCCATCCTGTTTAGTGGTACCAGAAAAATTGTTTAGCTTTCCTTTTATCCTGAAATTCATTTTAAAATAAGCCCTATTTCATGATACAATTGTCCCTTAATTGATAACTAATTCTTTTTTTAACTACTACAGAGATCTATTTTTTACCACTTAGCGAATAAAACATTTGAATAAGTTGAACAGTTTCAAACAATTAATCAATTCATAAATCAAAAATGAAAATAATACAATTTCGAAATTTCAAATCAATTAGAGATTAAAATAAATTAATTAAAAGAAAAAGCTGAGTTCCAATTTTAATTGAATCTTGCTCATTTGAAATCTATTTCAGTTGTAACTTATTGTCAGAAGAACACAGCAATCCTTTTTCACTTCAATAAATCATGCTGACAAGCAAATTAATGAATTAAAAATGGTAATACAAAATAGTATTTGGAAGCACTATTTTTAGAATACACAAATCATTAAAGCAATCCCAAATTAGATTCCTACCTTTATTGAAATATTTTTGCTTATCTTTTTGACCATATAATTATTTGCATATACAATAAGATTGATTAAATTTCGATCCCATTTTTTAAACATCTGATACATGTCAGGGAAATGATAATAATAGTGATGATGATAATGATTGATAGTGAGAGCAAGATCATTCAAATCATAAAATGACTGAAAAATTTTACGATTTATCAATTTTTTTTTCCTTTTATAAAATACTCACAAACAATTGAATCGTTCAAACAATTTGAACAAATTCAGATTTGCATAAAATTTGAGTTAAAGTGAGAGGAAAAAAAAAAGAAGATAAGGATGTCCTTTGACATTCTTTGACAACATTTCCCGATCACAGTCAAAATAGTTCATACAAAAGGATGCAAACAAATTATATTTCATCAAGTAAAATAAATGGAATTTGAGAGTTACATTAGTGTAAAAAATATATGTAAAAATCTAATCTAAATTAACTTTTACAAAAGCTCAAATTGTATCTAAGTAATGAGAGTAATACAATTTTGTCATTTTAGAATAATTATGACTCAAAAGTATTTTGGTACTACTACGGCTTATTACTTACAGCAATAGCCATTTTAAAAAAAAGAGAAATTTGATAATAAATATAAATACATGTCTGTCAATGTGTGTGTATGTATATATATATGTGTATGTATGTATGTGTGTGTGTGTGTGTATGTGTATGTTTATTCATTCAAACACGTCCAAGCATTGTTATAAATAATTAAGTATATTAATATCAGAGTAAAAAAAAGTGGTTACTTCATGACAATAAAATTCAATCCATGCAATAAGGCACGAAAGTATTTTCATAGATGGTTATGGCCTAACAATTGAAATAAGTAAAGCAAACAGGATGATAACATGCAATTTGGTACCACTAATAATTGAAGAGGCTTCAGCACGCACTGATAAAATACCTGCACTCTTTTCGTTGGCCTCAACTGCTGGCCAACATTCCGGACAAGCATCCTGCAACGATCTCGTCTGCTTAGCCGTATAGGTTGTCTTCACCTGTAACATTAACTGGATTGGAATATAAATTATGAACATCATATTGAATTCATTTTTCTCATTTTAAATTAATAACAAAAACATTTTAAACTTAAAAATTAATTAATTAGTCTAATTTTAATTTCAATTATTCTTTTATAGAAGAAATACAGTGAATGATAATGTATTTGTTAAACATTTGTGATACATACGATTGCATTACATTTAATAAAGACAATATTATTATAACTTTGCGAAAAGCAACGAAAAGCAATGCATCATAAGCAATACCTGTTGTTCAGGATCGTAATAGTCAAAGAGGACAACTTGTGCAGGTTTTTGTTCTGATATCTGATAAACCATATCACTGTACAATGAGAGACATACCGGTGTTGAACCAATCTACAACATGCAACATTTTCTATGTTGATGAAATTAAAATAAAAAAAATGATGAAAAATATTCCCTGTGCTAATAATAACAAGTAATTATTCTTTCTTAAAAGGAAAAAAGTGGATCATATAGTCAGCTTTATCAGATATGTGAGAAAGTCTAGTGGAATAAACAAAAAAAAAAAAAAAAAATGTTGAATTAAAAAAAAAAGCAGTTTAATATTTAAGAAGAAAGTAAAAAAAGAAAAATCTAATAATAACTAATAGTTCTTATCATAGATTTCATTTCATTGTTTAAATTTTTCGACAAATGTTAATTTTATACAGGATTGAAGTATAAGTTCATCCTTGTATCCTCTTTGTCCAATTCAGCTCTTTGCAAATCGCTAATATCCATAAGATTGTCAAGTTGATCACCGTCAAATCGAAATCCTGATAAGGCATCTACTTCAGCAACTGCCATATTAGAACGTGAATCTAGCTTGGTGTAACTGAAAGAGAAAAGTATTATAATTAAATTAATAGATGATAATCAAATTTAGTAAATAATAGCCAAATTTAATAAATAATAATTCAATTAATAGATGATAATTTAAAAGTATTAGGAAATTGATTATAAAAAGATAAGAAAATATCTAAAATTAAAATTACTTGCAACATAAGTCGAGCTGTAATCGATTGCCACTATGCAATTCACGAACTTCCTTTGTACAATAAAACGGTAGATCATCTCTCATTGTGGTACGATGATATGAATATTGTAGTTGTGCAAGAACAATGCCATTACCTCGAGCATTCAATTCTAATCCTTCGTCCAAATTTGTCAACTACAAACAGACATTAATTCCTTTTCTTTTCTATTTATAAAAGATGATAAGAACTAGAACACATATGTAGCGTTTTAAATTAAATAAAATGATTTGAACATATTAAAAATAAAAATTTATTTAAAAAAAGTACTAATAATCATATAAAGTAAACTGTCATAAAAGATATTCATGTTTCAAGACAATTAATTAAACATTAAAAAAAAAAGTAGAATTGTAATGTATGAATAAGAAATTTCTCTTATAGTTACCACAGTTAATTACAGTTATCAATTATCACTATAAGTGTTGTTGCTGATGTTGTTATCATGCTATTTACTGATAATTTCTAGGAGAACAGGAATGACTGAAAGTGAGATATCACATTAACTTTGCAGTCAGTAAATGACAGAATTTCAGATCAATTTCATATGCAAAGCATACAGCTTTCACTAGGAGGTATGTCACTATGAATTTTTTCAAATTCAAATGTTATGAAACAATTACTAAAATAAAATAAGAATTAAAATAACCTGATAACTTTGTAGTACCATAGCATTATCAGTTGTCACCTCGAAATTCTGCTTATCAGCGCCATTCATTATCATAATGCTAACGTTAAGTTGCGGTGAATAAACTTTAGCTGCATAAGTGGCCAAAGCTTGCAATGCCATTACTGTATCCTGAAATCATTGTTATTGTTTTGCAATCTCATTATTGTGTCCTGAAATCATTAGTCTTGCAATATCATTACTGTAGCCTAAAATCATTAGTCTTGCAATATCATTACTGTAGCCTAAAATCATTAGTCTTGCAATATCATTACTGTAGCCTAAAATCATTAGTCTTGCAATATCATTACTGTAGCCTAAAATTATTAGTCCTACAATGTCATTACTGTAGCCTAAATTTATTAGTCCTGCAATGTCATTACTGTAGCCTAAAATCATTAGTCTTGCAATATCATTACTGTAGCCTAAAATTATTAGTCCCGCAATGATGTCATTACTGTGGCCTAAAATTGTTAGTCCCGCAATGACGTCATTACTGTAGCCTAAAATCCTGCAATGTCACTACTGTAGCCTAAAATTATTAGTCCCGCAATGATGTCATTACTGTATCCTAAAATTATCATTGTCTTACAATGCCTGTATTACTGTATCCTAAAATTATTATTGTCAGTTATGAATCAAACAATAATTTCCATAATATGTATGAGATAGTCCAACCTGTGTACTACTAAAGCCACCGTATGCATTTCGTTGTGATGTAAGCCATCTCACCAAAGGCAGAGCTTTATCAGTATCATCTCTTATCATGTAAGTAAGTAAAACATAGGCTGTCATCTCAACATCTGCTGGTCTTGGCTGGTAGAAGTAATGTTGTGTATCTTTTGGCTTCTCCTGACCAATTTTCGTAGACCAGTAAACACCATCTACAATTTGAAAATTAAATTTTATCATTAAAAACATTTCACGATAGATATTTTAAATCCTAGGAAATACTAAATGAATTCATTAATTTCATTTTCAAGTCATGTAATCTATATTTATAAATATTACAAATAAACAAATAATTGAATTGTATTCTTGTGAGAAAATTTTCAGCTTTTTTTCCATCTATAAACATATAATTTGGCTATCAATAATGGAATCTATAAAACTAACCAGCATTTTCTTTTTTATGAGATTCAAGCATTTCCAATGCTTCTTCTTTTCTAGAACTATTAGCTAAATGAAATACATAGGTGACAATAGCTAATGCATACGGGTCATCTTTGATTTCCTCGAGATGCTGCTCCAAATAGTACTGTGCTTTATCATCCCGAACCTCAAATATCAGATAATGATCTAATTAAATATATATGTATTTTTTGAAGTTCACTAATCCAGGATAGTGAGTTATATTATTAACAAACTACGATTTTAGTTAATGAAAAAATTTATGCTAATTTTCGGTAACAAATTTACCATTGATATGATGTAACTAAATATATTTATTTTTGAATTACATAAAACTGACTCCATTTTCGAGAAGTGCTATATAGACGTAAGCCGTCAGTGATACACCACCTTCAGCTGCACCACCTTGCATCGCTTTATGATGAACTTCGCCACGTTCGGCAAATGCACCATTTTCCTGCAATATGACAATTAGCGCTTTATCTGCTAAAATGCGCTTAAGCATTGAGAAGAAGAAGGAATAAAGTAATAACCTGTTGTTGTTGAGCATTCAGAAATGCAATAGATTCTTGAAGGATATGCTCATCGATGAAGATGAACTGCTGGGCTTGTTTAAAAGATCGAACAACGAATGCTGTAAGCCATGTAGAGCCATGTTTATCACTTTGACCAAATGCCGAGAACGAATGGTCATCTCTTCTAGAATAGACAAATTTTGAAGTTCATTTATGCATCCTTTTAGGTTTCTTTTAATGTCACTTCCAGATAAAAAAAAAAAAATTGATGACAAATTTCCAAACTATATTACTTTGCAAATAAATTTCCAAACATTATAACTTTTAAGATTAAATGATATCAAGGTTAAATTGGAAATTTTTAATGCGCAATCAGATAATTTCTTCTTTTGAACAATTTATAAGTGTACTTATCAGCAAGACTTTACTTCAGCTTACAATCTCATGCAATCTAGTAGATTTCGTTTACACGACAGTGTCAAAATTGTTTTAGAAAAATTGTCAATTTTAGAGTTTTACAACAAATCCTAAACAATTACTTAAATATTTATTTCTTAGCTGTATTTTTTCATTATCATAGAATGGAGAGAACAAATGACAAAAGAGTACAAAAGAGAAAAAAGAGGAAAAAAGTTTGCTGTTTCATTAATTGATGTCATTTCACAGATATTTCATTCTCAAATATGAAACATTCCCAATATGAAATAAATTCCTATTTAATCTTTTTGCCACTGACATTATCATTAGTCTAATCATTAATGATTGCTGATAAGAATTATCAAATGTTTTAAAGATAATTTTAAACTCCTATTCCTTTCAGTTTTATCAGCAATCATTATTGTCCCAAAAAACCAAAATAATTTTATAATACGTCGAAATAAGTTAGACATAAAGATTATCTCGTTTGAATATTTCTTAGAACAATGTAAAACTGTTTCAATTTTACATCTCAAATTCATCGTCTAATTTATAGCTCAGCTCATTTGCATTATCTAAAATGTTACACAAATTTGTTAATTCAAAAGTTACAACTCTTTACTCAAACAAATCACTGTTATATACTCTTTCCTCTAAATCATTGTCCATTAAATAAAAAGTTAAATCTATTGTTTATGGTTAGTCTTTAAATTAGAAAATTTTAATTCAGTGTATCTCAGTATTTTCTCTACCTTTGATCAATCAATCTCTTTCAATGAAAATTTGCAGCTAATCTCAATCAAAATTTTCTACGATTAATTATTGTATATGATTATTTAATATTTCTCATTAATTAATAAACGTTTATTCCGACTAACTATTCATGTTAACTGATCAACAATAATAAATCGAAAGAAAAATTAAACTTTTCCAACAATTACTTTGCTCTAATTAACAATACAAAATTACCGGTAAGTAAGCTCTCGTTGATAACCAGATTCCATATACTTTTTAGCTTTATTTTCAATTTGCGTCCCTGCCTGTTTTGTAACTTTTAAATAGTGAAGTACAGCAATATTTGGCACAAAATTGATCATATTTTGTTCACCACAACCATAAGGCATACGTATGAGAGAATCTATATTAGCAAGAGCTGAACCCAATAAATCACCTAAAATTAAAATGAAAGAACACGTGAAATATAAAGATTAAAGAATTACGTGAACTAATATAAAAAAGAATTAAAGGGTAGATATAAATGCATTTGAAAGTTATTACGATTGCTAACAGCTAACTAAATTGAAGCATAAAAAGAATATTTTCTATTGAAATTTTATTTCTACTCTAATCTATCAATGATTTCAATCACTTTAAGAATTATTGTAACTCTAATTGTAAATCTAGTTTATAAACTTTTAACTTATTCACTTCAAAAATTTCATAAACAAATTTTTATTTTTTGTTGATTTAAATCTTATTTTCAGTATCAAATTAGATCAAACATTCAAATAATGAAATATAGTGATCGTAAAAATGTAGGGGAAAGTAAATGAGAGTAAAATATTTATATTTAAGGTATGAAATTTAATGCTATATTATTTGTTAAATATTCGATTACGTCGATTTATACACGTAAGTGAAATAATTGCCATAACGTGAATATCAGCGATAGAATTTCAAACAGAAATGGTTTTAATATTTTAGCATCAGAATGATTACAAACTGAAAATTATTACCGATAACATCAAATCGTGCTTTTCGAGATCCTTCTACTGCATCTCTTGGAAATTGCATATCGATTTGTTTTTTAATTTCAGTACTATCATTTGTTTGTGTTAAATCGATCATTATAAGAGTATTCCTGTCTACTCGATATCCTTCCGGCTGCAATTCATATTCAATTATCTCATTTCTGGTTATTAAATTTTGTTTACTTTGATACTAAGCCAAGAAAAGGTGACAAATATACCTCAACTCGTAACACCTGTTCCACCGCATCACCAGCTATAGCAGATTGTGCTGTCACAGAAAGAATCACATCACCAATTTTAGTTGGTACAATGGGAAAATAAACTGCTTTAGATACACCACCACTTGGTACCGATATTAATCTTACATTATACTCCTTGTCTTTTACATTTTTACTGTAAAACTAGATTGATTAATTTTGAGTGATATTAGCTTAAAAAAAAAAAAAAAACTTTTATATAATTAGCTAAAACAACAAAAGAAAACTAAACTAAACTATCAATGAAGTTGTAATGTTTGCAATAATTTTTAATTTTTAAGAAATAATTGTTAATTGATTGATCAACTGATCAACTGAAATTCATTATCATTTATGTTTCATTTTATGCAATAATCTAACCTACCTGATAGATTTTTTAGTAGTACCATCTTTTTGTAAAAAATTATAACCAATATCATCATCATCTTTCAGTGTTACTGTTACCTGTGCAGAAAATTTATCATTTATCATTAGCTAAGATAGATGACAATTTTAATAGTTAATTTGTGTAAATTTAAGTAAACAACAAAGAAATAATAACAATCATAATAAATTATAATCATAACTATTATACTTATTATTACCAATTACAATTAATATATGAATAAAATAAATAAACTAACATCTTGCTCACTGTCCATATAATTAAAAATTAACACTTGCAAAGCAAATTTTTCTCCACGTTTCACTGAGTATGGCAAATTGATACGAATGAAAAATGGTCGAAATACTGTAAGCTAAAATTAAATAAATAAGTATAAATATCATTTATTCAAATTAAATATTATTTCAAAAAAAAAAAAATGTAACAAATATTAATTATAAATTTTGAAATAGAATAAATAATAATTTTAATAGTTAGATTTGAGTAAAAAAAAAAAAAGTTTTATACTATATATATTGACAAAAAATACTTTTGAAGTAGATGGAGCAACTCCAAGACCACTCTCATCACTGATAGCAAAAGCACTTGCAACCCAGGATGTTATTGTATCCGGTACAACCGCTTCGAAAACAGCTTCTCCGGTATCTCTGAAATATCAATGTGTTCAAATTCAATTTGCATTTATCATCCTGTTAAAATCAAAATAATAGTTAAAATTTATATGACAGAGTAATAACTTCGAACTGTAAATTATCTCTCATAAAAAAAAAATAAAGTAAGTTGCAATCTTTCAATTCGAAAAGAAAATGCTATTAAAATGTATTAAATGTAACCAAATTTTTTTTTTTTAAAAAAAGGAAAACTCAAAATATCTTTTCCATTTAAAAGATTTTTTCTTTTCTATAAAAATGATTTTACTTTAGATCTTTTCATTAAGCGAAATTTTTTTGTTCATTTATATTAGTCAATTTTTTAAAAAATGACTTTAATTAATATTATTAGCCTGTATTCTCTTGCAAAAATTTTTTTCATCTTTTCATCAAAAAAAAAAAAAAAAATCAAAGTTTCAGTTTTCAAACATTGAAATTTTAATATGTGAATTCGGTCAATTCAATTCAAATTATTTACAAATTTTTATATAAAATTTTAATCACTGAATTCTAACCTTAATGTTTATCTCTTTTTCCTTTTAGTAGCAAATCAAAATTAATTAGTTTTTTTTCTTAAAAACTTATCACGATGCTTCTTTAATTATGTCACAAGCAGTTTGTTATATTTTAGGGAAAAAGGCTAAAAGTTACATTTCAAAAAGACAACATAAAACTGACTTTGTTCTTATCAATCTTCTTATCATTTTATTATCACTACTGTCCGGCAATATATTTCTTTTTTTTAGATATGTACTGCAATGTGAATGATTCTGGATGTATGCTAGTATAAATAATTCAATAAATTTGAATTTATAAATAAAATATGTAATTAATTCTTTATCACTGATACAATTGCTTATTATCATTAGCTATCACCATTAGCTATCATCAGCTATCACCTTAATAATCACAGCACGAAGATATATAATAATATTTAGAGCCATTCAATGAATCCAATAGAAAATTTATTGTACTTACATACTTATTACTTAGACTTTACTGCTTATATTAGAAGGAGTAATTAAGAATGAAATGTATATTTTACTTATTTACAAAAAACTTTTCTCTAATTGAATTAAAAAAGACATACGTTGCAGGAAATAAAACATTCATACTTTTCTCAACAAATACATTTTTGATAATTTTCCAGGTGTAAATGATAAGACACAAAGTGAGAAATCATTGTAACAATCATTTCTTCTTTTTTAATTTATCATTTAGTGATACTAATAGAAAACCTGTTTATCTTTACGTGAGATATTTTTCATTCAAAGTGATTTCAAAAATTTTTACAACGAATTAGTAGAATATACATATATTGAAAATGAGAACAGGTTTTCTGTTGTTGTCCTTTAGGAAAATAGATTGATGCTAAAATTATACAAAAATTATGTTTAGAAATTGAAAAATTATACGGGGACAAGTTTAAAAGTCCGAAAATTTAGCTTGAAGTACAAGATGGAAGATAAATTAAAATGAAAATCATTGAAAAAGTCAAAAAAATAAAAATAAAATGCTGATAATTGTTAAATAAATTAGAAAGTATTATGGTTTCAGAAAAAGAAAGAAAAAAAAAAACAGAAAGTATTCCATAGAAAGTTATATAGTACAGAGTTTATGTCTCCAATTCAATATGATAACATTGATAACTTAGTAATTCAGTTTCAAACTATCAAAATGAGTTAGAATTTATGATTACGTAGCAGAACACTGAAAGAATTACGTGTAATGCGTGATGTGCGTGTGTACGTTATTAAAATAATGCATTTCAGAATTGTAAGTAATGGCTGTGCATCAAACAATTATACAGGTGTGAAATTATGATACGTGAAGAGTACTTATACTATCGTGACCTTTCTTAGTACTCATACTATCATGACCTTTTTTAAGCTAAAAAGAGAAGTAATGAGGAGAATGATGGTACGTCAACAAATATATACAAATCGTATGAGTTCATTTTTGATATTAATAATTAAATTATTATAGCTTACTTAACCTAAGTAATTAATATCATGCAAAAGTTAAACCTTAAAGGAGGTCAAACTAAGTTGACTATATTTATTTGATATACTTTTTTGCATATGATAATTAATTAAGTATGTATAAAAGCAAAATGATAAGAATGATAAACTAAAAAATTGAGAAAACAAGCGTCTAATTATTAATTTATCCTCTAAATAAGACCAATAATCAATCTTTGTACTGAATTTATATTAATTAATCAGAATTTACTACTACCAAGTGGAGCAGGAAATAGTTCGTAAGAACAGAATGATATAAACAGTACCGAGTTCGCATGTTGCTCCAAACCCATGTTTCCGGAAACAATTTCCGTATCTTAGGTAAGTCATATAGGTCGGAACTTTTCTCCGATATTTCTTCATCCATACCTACTTTAAGGACAGAACGCGCAGCACCAAATGCAACTGCTGGAAATCGTCGCCAACTTTTGAAATTCACTAAAATGGAAAAAAGCCAATCAGATCAGTTTGGAATAAACAAACTTCAGCGAAAGCAAAGGATCAAAGCTTTGCATCGAAAAGATTTTGTATAGGGCCAAGGGAGAATGCAATGATTATGTAATATGAGAGAAATGAAAATGAATTTAAAAAATGATAAATTAAAATATCACACAGAATGTTATCAACAATTAGTGATAACATTATCAGAATGATTATCCTATATGATCAATGCATTCTTAAATAACTTAATAGCAATATCATGCAGTGCTAATGATAAGAAAAAAAGAGATCATTCTTATATAGTGCTGATAAAGAAGGAAAGAAAAGATAAGTGACAACATCTCTATGATTACACTGATAAAGTGATATTTGTTCTGCTGCAGCTAATTGCAAGGGAGTAGAATGATAATTTCAATAGTCTTAAAAACTTAATAAAAGTTTTAAAAAATTGATAAATTTGATAATTCTCATATCTCTTCAGACATATTAATTGCAAAAGTTATCACAAAAAGTAAATGATTTAGTTTTAATTTTATTTGCAAAATAAATAATAAATTCAATGTTGTCATCTTCCTTTCATAGTATTTTCAGGATATGTCTAAAATAAATTGACCGGAAATCAAATGCTATTATTTCGGTTAAAATCACACCGTTATATTTGCTAGTGATTGATGGATGCTTATCATGCGTCCAGTAAACAACAAAATAAAAAAAAAAAAAAAAAAACAATGAGATAAATGCACTGTGATAACACAATGATAACACAATTTTTCTAACGATTGAAGTTATTTTTTAAAAATTAATTTTAAATTAAGTGATAAACATATTTGCAAGTCAAAGAATAATGATGCAATGAATGTTAAAGGTGAAAATTAAAAAAAAAATAAAATAAAAATAAAAAACTTCCAATTCTAATTAACTGCTTTTGTCCAAAATGATAAAAATTTAAATCCAAGTGATAATATTAAAATTGTAAAATGAATTGAACTGCAAAAAAAAAAAAATTGCTTCTTTAACATTGATAATAATTTCTAAAAAGGGAAGAACTATAGAGGATGGAATAAGTTGATTGATATTTAAAATTTATTCTCAACTGCTTATCTGATAATTTCAAATTCTTTTGTGCCAATCAATATCAATTATTTACTTATAAACGGTATGATCTATCTCTATTCTCTCTGATAACTATCACGAGATATCATTTCATAATTGTAATAATCAGTAGTGATGATAATGTAATTTAAATAGATGATATTATTAAAATATCACTGATAATTAAAATTAAAATGTCATTGATAATTCAAGTTAAAAAATATGATTGTATGTGTGATAAAGTTGACAAAAAGAGCAAATAATCTTATAAATCTCCAAAAATTACAATATTACGTAGCTTGAATTAGGATTACGTAAAGGCTAAGCAAAAACTGATAACGGTACTGATAATAAGAGCTTCAATTCAAAATAAAAATGATATCTTGCATATCTATATGATTTGAAAAATCAACAAACTATTTTATGAAATTTAGTTATGATTTAATATTGACATTTGTTTAATTGAAATAATCATACTGCTAGCAGAATAAACTTAAACTTTTAAAGTTTATTGTATTGATAATAAAGTAGAAAAATAGATTACAATTGATAAGTAAACTATTGTAATCAAGTTGATAAATTGATAATAAGCTATCGTAGTCAAATACGATTATTAGTATTATGATAGATTAAAAGTTAATTAGTTAACTATAACTAAATATTATGATATTATAGTTAATTAATGATCGGCAAAATTTAAAAGATTTTAGCACTAAATACAAATTCTCAGACTAAATTGAAGTATCCTAGGCAAATGGAATACTTATAAAAAATTCAAAAAGTGAATGTCACATAAATAAACTTTTTTTACAAACTTTTTTTCCCATAAATTTAACAAATAAATGAATGTACTTTTGTATTTGTAAGAAAAGGAGAAAACAAATTTTAGTTTCTAGTTAACTCATATAAATTATTATAGAAGTAAACTTTTCGATTAAATTAAAAATAAAAATGAGGCATTCCTCAATTAACTTATCCCTAATTAGTATTACTTTTAAAAGTAATCAAACAAAGATAAATAAATTGTTATCAATTTTGAAATAATATAACTCAAATTAATTCTCATTTTATTTTTTATGGACTAAATTAATTATCATTAAAATAATTATAGTTTAGATGTAGAAAAAGTATTGAAATTTGCCCGCACATTTTCTGCCTGCCCATATTTTTCTATCAAAGTAAAAAAAATTTTTTTTTTTTAGAAAGAAAAAAAGAGAATCAAATGGAAATTACACCTCAACTAAAACTTGTAAATTCATAAAAATGAGAAGAATGGACAAGAAGAATCGATCTTACTCTGCGGCAAAAGTAGCGCTCCATATCCAGGATTCCGGAAAATTCTTCCTTATTCGTGTCATTTCAGAACCTTTCATAGAACCGGCTTGGTTCACATCGTTTTCTAACATTAGATTAGGTTGAAAATTACTGCCCAATGGATATGCTACTATTGGTTGAGCGAATCCTGAAATATTAGCTCCTTCCGCTCCGGATGGTGATAAGTATAATTTTGATATCAGATTTTGCTCATGTAGACATTATCACTATATTTTCATCTCATATTAGAAATGCCAAATCCTACCTCAATTGTTGTTAGTGATAAGAGCAGTGATAGTGATGATGTGATGATACTGCTAACAGTGATACTAATAAACTAAACAAATGGTATCGATAATGATGGTACTACTGATAAAGCAAAATACTATGCTGATAATAAGAATAATAATTGCAATATCAAGAGTAACACATATCATTAACATTATCATTGATAATAGTTACTAACAAGTAGTAACATATTATGAAAAGTGTGATAAATTAGAAGTGAAAATTAGTTAACTTTTATTTAGTATAAAAAAAAGGCTTATAAATAAATATTTCGTGTTAATTAATAGCAAAAAAATATGCAATAAAAAGTTAATTGTGATTAATTTTTATGATAATTAATTAATTAATTAATTAATTAATTAACGCGTTTTGTTAATGATTGTAAACATAACAATGAGCAAATTAATAATTTAAGCTGAAGAATTATGAATAAAAGATGATTTTATGTGTTAAATATGAAATAAATTATTAAACTTTAAATTTTTTATGCAAATATATTTAGAAGAAATTTCAATCAAAATTATTCATTTAAAGCTTATCATTACTTTTATAAGTATTATCCAATCTGATTGTTTCATTTCTTTTTTTTTTTTTTTTTAATTTAATAAATAAAATTATCAATTGATTTTCTGATTTTTTTCAGCAAAACGATTAGAAAATACAAATTGCAAAAGTATTGTATCAATTATTATATCACAAAAGACTCCAATTCAAATATTCAAATATTATTTAGACATCTCGGGATCAGTTATTGAGAGAGAGAGAGAGAGAGAGAGAGAGATCCATTTATTATTATTTTTTTGAAGATATAAAATTGATGAATGACTTATTTTTAACCATTAAGCATTTCTGAGTGATAGTGCAATTAGCGCATTTATAAATTATAAAAAAATAAAAGTTCTAAAGAGAGATCATATTAAAGTTTTAGCTTTTAACTTTAATTATAGTAGAAAAAAAAAACGATTGATCGCATAGAATAAGTGATTTTGATCAGTAGATCTTTTTTCTATTGATTATTCTTATTTTATTATTTATTGAAATTCTCGAATCAAACAACTCTCGGGAATTCACTGAGAAAGGAAATAATTTTAATATTAGCCTAAGAAAGAGGCAAATTTTGATTATCATTTTTTGAACTATCAAAATGAACGGTATATTAAATATTATTTGAGTAAAAAACAAGCATTTTTGGATTAGTTATAAATGAATGAAACAATGGTTAGTAGCAATAAATTTCCTGCGATTACTTGCAAAAAAAAAAAAAAAAGCAGCAAAACATACTAGCATGCATGCATGCATGCATGCAATGCGTGCATTTCATCCTTATCCACATTCTATTACTAATTCAATCATCTGTGAACATTTGTTTATTATAACTAAAACCAAATGTTGTAAAATTTATTTGCTGAATTCAAAATAAAAAAAATAGAAATTTAAAGATAGCAAATTATAATGCTTAGAAGAAAGGTTAAAGGTAAGATGAAGTCTTTTTCATCAATTTATATGCTAAATTAATATTTAAAGCCTAGTTCAAAAAAAAAAAAAATGGCCATACATTAGGCTCTTTTTTTTTTCTCGAGAAAATACTTACTTGCAACATCAGGGCCACGAAATAGCAGTGCATCAGTTAGAATGACAAGACCTGAGTTCTGCAAATTGTTTTTGTTTCTTTGTTTGTATATTTTGAGAATGAAATTAATTCTAATTAATTCAAAAAAAAAAAAAAAAGATTTCATTTACTACTAATTAAACTAATTAAAAATAATTAAAATTTTTTTTTTTTTTTAAAGAAAAAAGATGCAAACATCAAAAATTGTTGCAGCATCTTTACCACCAATACCCCACCACGGATACCAGACGGATCGTTTTCGACGTCTTAAATCTGCTTCCCATGATCGAAAGCCATGGCCAGCAATTGTTGTATCATATTGTTCAACATCTTGTTCCACCTGAAAATATTATTTTTATTTTTTTTTAAAAAAAAAAAATTATCTTTTAAACATTTAAAAATGGTAGTGTTTATTTTAGAATGAAATATTATGATCAAATTAATTTATTACTCATTTAAAAAAAAAAAAAGAGTATGACAATCAATAAACAATAAATAATTTTACATAATAAACAAATAATATCATAGTATTAAATATAAATATTTTTTAAATTTTGGCTTATATATTCATTTCAATTCTTTTGTAAATTGTATTTTAATGCTAATAATAAAATTAATTTCAAATTTACCAAATCTTTTGTAATATCATTGCCAGATTTTAGAAGCAAAACACTTTGATCAACTGCAAGTAAAGCGCAATATGATTCCGGATCTGCTTTTATGGTATATTTTACTGAAGTACCCGGTTCTGCAGTAGTATGATCAGCTGTAAGTGAAACCTGAAAGTCTATTCAAAATGATTTATTCAAAATTGATCTTTTTTTTTTCTTAAATTTTGAACTTCAATTATGTTTTTTAAATTATTTATTTGATTTTTTTTTTTTTAAGATTAATCCCTTTTTTTTAAATTAATTTTTAATTTCCAATGAATAATTTTTGTCGAATCTTTTTGACAATCTGCTAAAATGTAAATTAGCTAACATTGTTCCTGAATAAGCCATCAACTCGGAAATCGGTTGCATCAACCAAAATTTCTTGATTCGATGCTCGGACAGTATATACGACTAACATTGCTTTTGGTGCCATTTGTGATGTCGCAGTAAATGTAATCGTTGCTAAATCACCATTAACTGACATATTCTGGACAAGAATTACTGATCCACGAGCTATTACCTGAAATATACCTTATAAAGTATCAATATTTTAGCTTATCAGTAGTATAAATAATATTTGATATACTGTGATAAGAATGATAACAGCTAATCATCTATAATAGCAATTCGATCAGATTAAAGTTCAAAAATTTGAGACATAGAGATAAATGACTATCACTTAATAAGCCATGAACTTTTTGTTAAAGTTAGCATTGGTTTAAAATTTTAAAGTATATAAACCTGATAAGTGATTGTTGATAACGGTTCAGTAGCTTTCACCGTAAATGATAATGTTTTCCCCGTATCAACAACTCCGGTATGATCGGCAATCAATTGCAAGAAATTATTTGATGGACTTATGCTTGGTTCAATATAAAGAATTGAATAAATGCTTGCACCCTCGAATTCGTCTTTTCCGGAACGATCATAATGAGCCTACAATAATTAATAATATTTGTTGTTGTTATATACAAAAATAAAAAGAAGACAATCCCTAGTGATTATTTATTAATTTTAAAATTTATCTTAACCTTTCTCAATGTTAACAAAAGAAAAAATGAATTGAATTTGAACTATGAACTGACAAAAGAAAAGTAAACTACAGCCAAGTACTTATATAAACAAATGTGTAAACAGTATTAAATGTTAGAAAAGAGTAAATGAAAGGTAATCTTTGCATTTCGCAGTCAAACCATTATCAGTAATTTACAGGTAATATATCTGATAATTTGAAATATGTAATAAAACTAAAATGATATATGAATTAAAAAAAAAAAAATTTTCATTCTCTCTTTCAAAGAGATACTTTAATAGCAAAAAAAAAAAAAAGAAAGAAAATGATAAATTTTAATTAAAATTTGAATAGGATAAAAAGTAACTTCAACTCTCGCATCGGTGCAATTATTTGGTGGTTGCAAGGTAATCACAGCAGTTCCATGTGCATCCAAATCCACAATTTTCACTTTTTTATCTTCATGTTGTGTTATTGAATCGGTTCCAAACAAATAGCTATAGAATGTTGTCACCTGAATGATTATTCATCTATTAAAATTTATAAAAAATGATAAAATATTTCCCATTGTTTTATTGTATTTTATGAGTAATACAATTTTTACTTAAGTTATGTTTTGACAATTAATAACTTTTTGTAGTGGTGGAAAAAAAAATTAGAAGTTTAGTTAAACTATAAATTTAGTGAAATAGAACTGTGTATTACCTATACAAATTAGGTAATTTAGTAAAGTAAAACTACGTGTTACCTGTACACGTTTAGGCAATTTAGTAAAGTAAAACTACGTGTTACCTGTACACGTTTAGGTAATTTAGTAAAGTAAAACTACGTGTTACCTGTACACGTTTAGGTAATTTAGTAAAGTAAAACTACGTGTTACCTGTACACGTTTAGGTAATTTAGTAAAGTAAAACTGCGTGTTACCTGTACACGTTTAGGTAATTTAGTAAAGTAAAACTACGTGTTACCTGTACACGTTTAGGTAATTTAGTAAAGTAAAACTACGTGTTACCTGTACACGTTTAGGTATGGTAGCCTTAATTGGTGTATCATCCATTTGCTTTAATGTAATGACAATATTATATCCAAGGCCAGGTTTGAATGTTTCACCTTGTTTTTCCATATCAAGTTTAACATCATGTCGATAAGCAACAATCTGAACTTATTTCATATCTTTTAAATTTTAGAAATTAAAAAAAAAAAAGAAATTCTTCTTAGAAAAGGAATATAAATAGAATTATAAGAAATAAAATTGTATAAAATAAAATTAAAAAAAAAAATAAAATCATAAATAAAATAAATAAAACTCTTTGTTAGAATAATAAATCATAATAATAAACACTTATTTCTTTTTATGAATAATAAAAATTACCTGTGTGGTAGCATTTCGTTTAATATCTGTCAAATCTTCGGTAACTGTTGCGGTAATTTTCACCGAGCTACCACCATATCCTGTCACCAATTTATGCTTCTTCAATTCATCATTTGTGAAAACAATCGTTGCTTCTCCCATATTATTCAAATTTATCGTTCTTTCAATAATGTTTTCGTGCTCCTCCTAGCAATAAAATGAACATTACCTGAATGCTAGCTAATATAAAATAAATTAAAATTAATTAATTAATTAATTAATTTCAAACCTTTTGAATAGTTCCATCATCTGAGACAACTAATGGTACTGTAAAATGATGCCAAGGTAATTCTAAAGTTACTTTTGCTTTACCAGATACTCCTTTCCCATATGTATACCTATAATAGTTTAAAATATGTAAAAGATTTCATTGCAATTGAATTATTTTAAAATTTTAACGCATTATGAAGTGAATGCTTGTAATCGATTGATTATTGATTCAAATACTTTAAGAAATATTTATGTAATATGAAAAAGTAATACTTATTGAATTTATTGTTTACTTTAAATTAAAGTTTAATATTATATAATGTATAAATGAATTACTTAGCCTCAATATGAACGCTTAAATCATCGTTTACAGTAATAAAACTTGGCGTTTTCACGTTTACTTCAAATTTCGGTAATACATATTTGTCCACCGTAAAATCTTTCTCAAATTTAATTCCACTTTTTGTTTTCACCATTATTTGCCAATCACCAAGTGGTGGTTCCACTGATAATTCCAACTCATTTGAGTACACTCCTATAAATCATTTTTCCAGAATTTCTTCCTGTTTTTTTTTCTGATAAAAAAAATATTTGAATAAAATTATTAATTTTCAATAATACCTTTTGTCAACGTTTGATCATTTTTTTGACTAATAATATTTTGATTTGGATCTTTGATCATTACCGAAAGTGTTTCCGAATATGGTTTCAAATCAGGTTTTACCACTACTACACGATATCGCACTGCAATTTTTAAATAATTATAGTAATTTCAAAAAACCTTTTTTTTTTTTTAGAATTTAGAAATTACAAAATTAATTATTCCATTTGACATTTTTTTTTTTTTAATTTAATTTCTAGAATTTAATTAAACGAACCAATAGATCCAGGCTTATAGATTGCTTTATCGGTTTGTATAAATACTGAAAGTGATTTCTCATCAAAACGGACATCGCCTTCATCCTCAAATAAAATTTTCGAACTTAACGTCTCGCATCTCACATACACCTTGTAGTATGAGCCAGGTAAAAGAATTTCAGGTGATAATTCATCGATTGTTATTGTCTGTGGTACACCTGAATTTATTGAATTTGTAATTTATTAATTCAATGAAATGAGTAGAATTTAAAATTTATTAAGCAGTTTATTTTTGGAAACCAATAAAATTGAAAATGATATTAAATGAGTCTTTTTTAAATTATTCGTTTGCTAAATTTATCAATTTCAAATTAAAACAATTAAATTTTAGCGATAAAAATTTTAGCTTTCATTTCTTATACATTGAGGTATTTTTGTTTTAATTTAAACTAATAAAAATGTGCTTTATAAAAGTTATAAAGTAAATATCTTATGAAATAATTCATAATAAATTAATTATTAGAATAGTTATAATGGACAATAAGTAAAATCAAAAGAATTTTCCTGATTAATTTAATTCAGTAAACCTGAAAAACTAACTCAAAATTAATTATTTTCTTTTTCCTTTTTTTAAAATTCTTTCTTTCTTCTTCTCTTCGTATTCTTTAATTGAATAAATGTATCGTCAAATTTTAGAATATAAAATAATTATTAAAATCTTTAGTCTAAAAATAATTGATTAGTTTGGAAAATGAATCATTTTAATGTTATGATAAGAAAAATGATAATAATGATAAAGATGATAAGAACCTGTTTTAACATTATTAACAACACGAGCTCCCACTGTATCATTTTGAATAGTTCGAATTTCAATTCTTACAATATGATCACTTTCCGGACTTTTTAGTACATTCACCGAAACAGCATACGGCAAACTTGGCCTTACCACTTTAGGAGCAATCACCAAATATGTCCCAGGACTGAAATTTCATTTTAAATTTTAATAATTCATTTCAATGTAAGAAGTAGAAATAATTAAAGATCGAATAATTAGCTATAATATTAGCATAAAATTATTTGTAATACTTAATGAGCTTATAAATTTTATCTGTAACATTACACCTTTTGCTATGTTAATTAATTGATTAATTCGTAATGAATAATTAATAGAATGTAATTAATATTTTACTAAATAAGAATTTTTGAAATTAAATTTACTTATTATTCAAAATCTAATGAATTAACCTTAGTAATTTGATTAATGATAAATTGATAAATTTATAAAACTTACTGCGTTTGTTCAGTTCCATCAGTGATCCCAAAATGATCTCCAAATGGTTTCATCACGTCAACAGCTATCACGTTACGTAAGGCTACGGCAGTAAGGCCGAATAGCCACGCATTAAACATTTCGACCTTTCCGGATTTGCTATCTTCTTTGTAGCACTGATTTCTTCTATTTCTGAGTATTAATTATAATATGAAATTCAGGAAAACATAAAAAATGAGTGATGCATAAGACGTGAAAGTAAAGTGATAATAATTGATATCAACTGATAATGAATATCAATTATAGCATTTCTGATATAAGTTAAAATTATGCATTATAAAAATGTTATTTAAATAAATGGCATAACAATCAAACAATTTTTACACAATAGGAAATGCATTGATAATTATTTGATATTTTTGATAATAAATATTATCATAATAATTTCTTATCAATATGATAGACAAATATTTTCTTCAATAATTTTTCACGTAAATATTACGCTAAAAATGTTTTACATTAAAATTACTAATAGAATTTCATTTCCATTTTCGATATTTATTTCCACTTAAGTTTCAATTTCATTTTCATTTAATTTCATTTTAAATTTATAGAACAATTATTTACATTCTGTTCCATAATGTTCACTAAAAAATTAATAATAGTTGTATAAAAAGTATAATTTTTTTTTTTTTAGCTTTGCTAATATCAGTTATAATCTAAGAGTTAATTAATTAATTAATTAAATATCATTTTAGGATGATTAATTTGGGAAGCACATAATTTCATTTCAATATTTGAAACAAAAAATTCCTCCATTAAACGATACATAATTGATTAAATTTTATTCCAATTGGACAGAATCGGAATTAAATTTTAAAAGTATGATAATTAATTCAACAAATGGATAATTTATAAATTCCTAGCATTCCATTAATTTTTATTATATTATTAGGTAAATAAAAAAATTGATCAAAATAACTCTTTTTATGTTTAGTAATAAATTTATATTAGCATAAAAATTAGAAATGAGAAGAGAAGAAATGTTTTTCAAATTGTTAAACATTTTAAATATTGAAACATACATAATCGTTAAGATTTCACATTTTTCAAAACATTTCAAATGCCACTTTTTTTTTTTTTTATTTTTAAATAAAAATAGAAAATAATGTATTGAAAAATGTAATTCAATGGTTTAACAGAAAATAAAAATGAAATGAACATTGCACTTTTCATCTGTAGCTAGTGAAAATAAAATCAAAATGGCAATTTTGAATAAGCAAATAGCATTTTAAATTTTGCAAATGAAAATCTCAGCAAAGTTTTATAAAGTTTTATCTCTTTTCTCTTTTCTTTTCTTTTTTTTTTGATATTATTGTAGATTGTTCTATAAATTTAATCTATGAATTTAATAATTCGTATTTGTATGCAAAAAAGAAAAGAAAACAAAAACAAATTAAGCGAATATAATTAATTAATAATTAATAATAAATTACAAAAAAAAAAAAACATTTTGATAAATTATCCATAATAACAGTAACAATAATTGCTATTATTATAATTTCTAAAAACAATTAAAATTATAATCAAAAATTCTAAAAGAATTCAAAATTTTTTTTTTTTTTTTTGCTTTTTTCATCCCCTGAAAAGATTTTAGAGAAATGATGTTTGAGACATCTGTGATCGGTTAAAATGCAATTCTTCTGTCAGTTGTTTCAAAAAAAAAAAAAGAGAAAGAAATGAGTCAGCAAATCAATTTTAAGAATATTTTCAATTATTTTCTTAAATGATAAAAGTAAATAATTGAATGAGATAATTTTGATGAGATGAATAAAAATTATGCGTTTGAATAAATGTAAAATATAAATATTATTCGAATTTATAAATATTTGATCATATTTCTAATTATCAAAATAAATAGTTTTAATTAACTAATTAATTAATTAATTAATTTAATTAAATTACATAAATATATGCTATCATAAGAAGCATTTTTTTTTAATTAATTTCTAGAAAAATCAGCAAATATCTCAAGAATGATTCGAGAAAAATTGAAGAGAGGAAATAAAATGATATTATTGCCTTTACGAAGTGGTATGACACACACAACGCTCACACTGTTAATAACTTTAAACCAGTTTTAAAATCATTGAAATTTCTCAATGAAACTTGCGAAAAATTTTTTTTTTTTTCTCATTTCTTTTTTTTTTTTTTTTTTTTTGAATTTGTAGGAGGAAATTTTAGTGATAGAGAAAATTCTGTTTGCAAACATATATTTTTATCCATTGATGATCAATGGAGCTTCCAATTTTAAAAATTAGGAAGGAAAAAAAAAAGAAGAAAAGAGAGAGAGAGAGAGAGAAAGACTAATGAATTCAAATTCAGGTTATTCAATTTAGGATATTTATTGAATGTAAATTGCATCCTCACATGGATGAAATGATATCAATTTGAAAAAGGAAATATTCTAAATATATGATTATGTGATAATTGTATGATAATCATATCACTTACTCAAATCATTACTTCTGATAATGTAAGTAAGCAAATTTAAAAAGTAACTATGAATGTAGTAAGTATGAATCAGTAGAAATCAATGCTTTAATTAATGAAATTTCTTCTTAAAATTTTTTAAAAGAAAAAAGAATTTAGAAAAGGATAAATTTGTTGTTCAACTTAATCTGAATAACTTTTCTAACCTATAATTATAAGTAAGTAATTGCATCAATGGATAAAAACGATTTTCGCAACGATGCGAATAATAATCGCAGCAGATATTTATTTAGATGCGATCAAAAAAAGGAAAGAAAAAAATGAATGAATGATAGTTAGATATGAGAAAGATTCATTTCAGATTTTAAATTATAAATTAGAGATTAAATTTTCAATGGTATATTTATGTTAGCAAAATTATAAAATCAATTTTTTTTTTTTAGAGAAAAAAGGATTTAAAGGAGGACAAATTATTGATGAGTTTGAAAGATGGAAAAGAATGAGAAAAGAATCAAAAAATAAAAAATAAAATAAAATAAAAATGTAATGCAATGGCAGAAGGAGGAGTTCGAATGTTTGTCCTCGGAAGAAGAAATAATTAATCTTAATTGCTCTACCAGCACTTCTCCTATTCTTCCATTTTTACTAATTAGTTAATTAGAGGTTACCATTGCATCCGTTAACACGAGCATACCTGCTACCTTTGCATATGATACCTTGGCCATTTCATAAGGACATCCAAGGACATTCATTCATCAATTAAAGGTGATAATTACTAACCATATATTTACGACATATTAATAATAATTAGAATATGGTTAATACTAATACTACTACTACTACTTAATAATAATGATAATGATAATAATGATAAGATACAAAATACTTTGATATATTACAGATACTAAAAGAAAAATTATCATTTATAATCACTAATTGAAATTTTAAAAAAATGTGTGGATTTGCACAAAAAACTAAATTATAAACATAAAATACAATTAAAAAAAAAATGTAAAGAGAAACATTGATAATTTTAACTTTATCACAATTATGGAAGTTTGTAAGTGATAAAAAAAATTTTTGATAACATTTTTTTTTTTTTTTGAATTAATAGAATTGTTGTATAGCACAATTATATAAGATATATGAATAGTAAGGATTAGAGAATAATTTACTTTCATAAAATATTTACCATCTGGTAGCATTTCAAGAACGAACTTTCAAGAAAATTAATAGTATCCTCAGAAAAGTTAATTTTTCTCTACGAAAAAAATAAAAATAAAATAAAATAAATTCTACGATTCTGTAATTGGAACAAAATAAATAACAGATATATTTTATTAAAGACGAAGAGACTCAAACAATAATTTGATAATAAGTGATAAATTTTGATAATTTGAATAAACTGATAATTCTTTTTGATAATCTTTAAAATAAAAAAGAAATTCATCAAATTAAAAGTTTATCAAACATTAATTACAATTATTATTAATTATCACAAATTATGTTAGCAAATTAATTCAAAAATATTATTTAAATGTAAAGAAAAAAAAAAGATATTGCAACAATAATATTGATTTTAAGACAAAAAGAAAAAGCAAAAAGTCTAGAAAATCTTTTTTTTTTTTTTTTCTTTACAAAGAGAAAAAAAAAAAATGAAAAAAATTTTGCACTTTTTTTTATTTTTATTACAATTAATGGCCTTTTCTTTTCTATACAAAAAATATTTTTTAAAGAAAGAAAGAAGAAAAAGCTATTTTTAAATTAATTAATTAATTAAGTTTAATTTAAAAAAACGTTTTGCTAAATCGTTTAATTTTGCAAATAAGAAAATTCTGAAAATTAATATAAATAATTTAAAATTTAAAACTGAACAAAATGATGAATTGATGAAATATAATTGCTTGCGAACAATTATAATGGGTTTTTGTCATTGTTGAAGAATTGAAGTGGACAGATAATAATAATAATAATAATAATCTCATCCATTTTCAATCTTTCTCTCCCAATTCTGTCACGATCTATTTGTATTACTAACAATAACTATTATTTATCATTATTATTGTTATTGTTATCGCTATTGTTATTGCTGTTGTTGTTGTTGCTGTTGTTATGCTCTTATTGTTATTATAATATTGTAATAATTAGTTTTTATAATTAATAATAATTAATTTGCCTGTACTTTACAGATCTAATCAACAATTTATTTGCTATTTTAATCAGTTAAATTTTTATTAATCAATATTGCAATATTATTGATAATTTTTTATTAATATTATTTTTTTAAAACATTAGAAATAGCACGAAATACTTCTGTTTTATATACATATTTTTTTTTTCTCAAATTCTTTTCAATTATTTTAACAATTTTTTTTAGTACAATAAAATATAATTTGAGATATTTAATGTTATCGATACTATCTGAATTTGTTTCTTTGCAATTAAAATGTCTTTTTGAGAAAAAAAAAAAGTGAAAAAATTGAGTGAATTTGTATAGGTAGCATTTATCTTACTTCAATTCTTTAATAGCTATACAATTAGCAAATTTATTATATCAACGAAACAATTATTGAATTTAAAATTAGACATTAAACATTGATGAAAAAAAAACAAAGTACTTTATTTTAATAATTTCCATGTAATTCTT